ACTGGCGAGCCATATCCATCCAGATAACATCGTATTTGTAAAGTTTTTTTGTTTTTTAGGAAGACGTAGTCCACATCGATCGCAAGGTTTTATGAGCCCAATGTGTTATAGTCTAAATGGCGTTGAAGAATTCATAATTCTCCTTACATGGAAAGTATGCAGCTTGTAGACTGCAGACCCCAGACGTAAATGCGACGACAGATCAAGTGTAAAATTATTTATAAAATGAAAATTTCTTTTTGAAAACTGAGAATGTCTTCTTTGAGTGTAAACTATAAAAAGCACCCGATTGGCTACCAAGTGAGGATAAAAAAGAATATTTGAGCATATTTTATATAAAATATATTTAAATTTATATGGGCGTCTAAAATTAATGGGAAAACTCGAATCAATTTTCAGTTGAAATAATAACTGTTGATGGCCGAAACGAGGTACATTTAAAATCCGGCAACGCAGCGTGGCTGAAATATTTTAGGAACATACTGCCCGATAATCAATATAACAACCGTCATTTAAGTAATCCTTCTTATTGAAAACAAACTTAACAGGGTCCTAATTAACATCCAACGAAATTAGTCACTGACTGAACATGACGTTTGCGAACCAAATTAAAGAGGTCCTATGAATTTGTCTTATTGTTACTCAGAATATTTTTCAAATGTTCCACACTACTGAATCGGGAAGCAGTAGTAGTGAAGTGAGATGTTGGCAGTTTTGGCAGAGCTGAAGATCATGAGAGCAGTTTGAGGTGAAGTAGTAAGGCAAGGCTTCTCGCGCGGTTAGTTGAGTTGCCTGAGAAGCCATGGATAACCACATGTCTGTTAATAAGGATCGTTTTCTTGGTCTGGACTTGAGGACGGGATTATAAAGGCAATCAGCAAGTTTTCAACGTCTTTACAGTCGGTAAGAATCCTTAATGCGCCTAAGGTACTAAAATGTCCAGTAAAACAGCCTACATGCCTGGCACCTAGGCTGTTTTACTGTACGAGACAAATATTTTCCAATCGCTTCCCGCATGATGTCAGGGTCAGGTTAAGGAGGACTTTTGAGCATTGAAAGTGCGGTCCACACATGTCCTCCTTCTTTACGCAGCAGGAACAGAATTTATGCAGCAGTTCCACCGGCTAGGGAGCCTTTAAAGATCTTGATAAAAATATAAATAAGGATAACATCGATCTTGTGTGATGAAGAACCTGTTCACATGTGGGTGACCTTGCGGTCACGCCTAGGGAGGATATGGCTGGTGTTAGTCTTATGGTAAGGATTAGGTACGCACCCGGAATTTAGCGCGATGTCACCCGTAGTCCATCTTTCCATATCCGACCCATATTTCTAAAGGGCGATTTTAAGATTCAAATTGGCAAAGTTGAGAGATCCGGGTTGATTATTTGAAGAAGAATATATGCTCATCAGAACAGGTTTATTTTGATGCTGACGTTTTGAAGATCTTGGTTGGCTTTCCATTGTCAAAGCATAAAATGCACTTAATCGACCAGAAATCCCAAGTGGCATGTAGTGTTGGTCGGCCTCATGCTGATCGATTTTCCTCTCCTCTCGCTGCCTCGGTCTCTCGGAGGATGGTTGACGGGCGTTTTGTCTGCGTGCTCTGTGAGTCACCACCCCGTAGGGGGGAGCTGATTGAACCAGTGTCGAGTGGTCGGTCTGACGGTTCTTGTTCTTCTTCACCGAGTAAACTCGCCGTCGAGCTGTCTCCAATGGCCTTCTTAAGTCCGGTGTGGTTGTTTGGTCCAGAGCTCTACGATTGTGATGACGTACGACTTTGTAAGCTGCAGGAAGGTCCAGATGCCTGTTGATGGAATGGGCATCGGAGAACCACGCCTCGAGATTTAGCCGTTCTGCTTTTGTGTTGCGCCGGCCTAAGATGGTAGCTCGCTGGAGATCGAAAGTATACCCGGTTTCTCCTAAATGTGTAGCTAATTGAGAGTTTGGGTCTAATCCCCGAGTAGCCGATTTGTGCTCTTGTAGGCGAGTCTGCAATTTCCGCCTGATTTTTCCCACATAGTCGCAGTCGCCCTCATTGCATTTCATTTTGTAAATAACTGCTGAGGTTTCGGCGAGTGGTAATGGGTCCTTAGGTTGCATCAGACGGCGTCGAATTGTTGCCTGGGGTCCGTGGGCTATGCCTACTCTGGCAGGTTGTAACAATCGAGAGACCGCCTCAGATTAATCTAGTTACCCGTCCTAACAGTCAATAAGCAGTCTTCTGTTTACATGAACATACCTTGAGTGTGTTTTGGTCTTTAAATGTGGGAAGAAAGAAGTTGAGGCAAAAACTGTTCGGTTCGACATTTGGATGTATGAAGCTTTGACAAAGAATTCTCTGTCCTGGCGGTTACAGATGCATATGCGAAGGTTGCGGGCAAAATATGGGTTATCAGCCCCCCTATCACCAAAAATATTTATCCACACCACATGAAGTGCTTAAATAAACTCAAATCAGTGTTCAAAACCGGACATTGCAAGTGCAGCGGATGCTGACTTTGTGTTTGCATTCAAATTTAACGCTAAGGATATCAGCACTCTGGGGACAATTTACTTGACCACGGTGCTATAAACACGCTCATTAACCTTTGCTTAAAACGAAAACCTTTCAAACTGTCAAAGTAGCTAGAGTGTTTACGCCGAGAATATTTCAGAGAACGCCTTGATCACTGAAGTCACCTAATAATAAGCATGTGACGCGCGTACCTTTATCAATCAGACGGAGTTGGTTCATGCTATGACTTAAATTATTCCTAATTATCAATCTGAATCTCAGAATGCGGTCGATTTCCACGCGAATGTGCCAATCAAGTTGAAAGTAATGAGCCCAATGTAATTCTACCGATTGCTTGCATTATTATGGTTCTGACTGTTGAACTTTCCCAACTTCCTTTGACAGAAGCTAGGGTTTAGTAGTTTTTGTCGCTGTAAATCAAAAAACTGCGTTGAAACAGTGTCACAAGCGAATACTGAGGAAATAACAAGTGACTGTGTAAGCCGCGAAAAGCCAACTTCTTATTTTATTTGATTCCCAACACTAAATAGACAACGGCTTCCTTTTGATGACATTTCAAAGATCATCATTTGAGTTTCACTGTCCGTAATACTACTTTCTGACTGTTCATCCGTTTCACTTTATATACATATGTGAAATGTGATTCTACCGATTGCCTTCATTATTATGATTCAGACTGTTGAACTTTCCCAAGCCCTCTTGACAGAGGTTTGGGTTTAGTAGTTTTTGTCACGGTAAATTAAAAAACTGGGTTTAAACTGTGTCACAGGCGAATACTGAGGAAACAACAAGTGAATGTGTGAGTAGCGAAGATAAGACTTCTTATTTTGTTTGATTCTCAACACCAAATAGACAACGGCTGGCTTTTGATGACATTTTAAGGATCATCATTTGAGTTCTACTGTCCGTAATACTACTTTCTGACTGTTCATCCGTTTCACTTTATATATTTACATGTGAAATGGGTTGTGGTACTGTTTTTAATAAATGACAATTATTTACCGGTAGATAAGAGTTTGGAATTTTGAGACTGGAAACCGGAGCGCTAGATACCACTTCGTATCTCCGTACTCTGTATCATCAACAAGTGATTCTTGTTCAGTTCGCGTTTATTCTTTTTTGGCGGTTCTTTTAGAAAAAATGCATCTTGAAGAGAATCGATTTCTACAGTAAAGCGAACAAAAGCAAAAATATGACTATCAGGTCTTTCTTAATGTATTTGTTTTTCAGAAGGCGATTTGGTAAGCATATATTTGTTTCTCCATAATTTTTAGCCAGGCCTTAGCATTTCCATGGTTGCAGAACAAAGTAAAACACGCGGACAGTTCGCGTGGGGCAACAGCTGCACAATGACGGTGGGGCGAACCCCCCTAAAGTTACCTGATATCGGCAGAATAACTGTTTTAGGCCATGGAAAGTGCGGGGTATACATGGAGTGCTTTGCGCAGACAGAGTTGTTTCGTGTAACCAAACAGCAGTTACTGCGGCAGTTTGCACTGGCGCACATTCGGGCAGACACAGTGGTTCAGGCTTCATTTGAACCTGCAGTCCGTCGCCTGATACAACACACGCTACTTGGACTCAAGGACATCGTGGTTAGCACGCGACATGATCTCTTCAATGTCCACGGCCACCTTAGGCGGAAACTCGGAATTCAGCGCGTAAAGAACGTCTCAGTTACATTTTAAAAGTCCAGCATTCTGTTATCTTTGGTCTGATCCTGTTATTCCGGACTTAAATTGGATACTGTGTCGCTTTGAGTACACACACCATTTAGATGCCACGACATCGTCAAAACATATCCCGCGCCTGGAATGCTCTTGCGGATACGCAAGTCTGATTGAATGAAAACTCCGATTGGGCATAAATGAGCATGAACTACCTCTGCTACGGCGACCGAATACCAAAATTTGATGACCACACTTTCGAAACTAATACGAGTGAGACACCGCGGAAGTTCACTTAAGCCGGAACGTCCTATAAAAACTCATTCAGCCGACATATTTCGTTTCGCACAAGCTGCATCACTGCCAATTGACAAACACTTGAGGGAGCTTGACAGTTCAGAAGAATCACCGGGGTATGCTGGTACACAACCACTCTCTTCCCTCCTTACACTAACGGGTGTCAAGGGCTCAAATAAAAACATCCACTGAAATAATCGCATCTACTGTTTATTAAAGATGCTCATTCCCGGGTACAGAAGTCTTTCCTACGTAGCCAAGGTTATTCTTTCGGCAGCTTTGGGTAATATCAGGAGAAGTATAGTGGTATACAACTTACTCCCTTCTCCACTCCTCCACCCTACCCAGGTTCTCCTTATAAGACCAGCTAGTCAATAGAATACACCGGACCTCCGTTTGCCTATTAGTCAGAGGCCTTAACCAGAACAGTAAAAGATATCCCGATAGAATAGCAAGAAAGCAATAAGCATTGTGTCAGAAAAAGACCTCCTACAGTAGATGGGTACTTTCGATATATTCTACATCTTTTTTAGTTCACCGGTCTCCGCCTTTGTGGCCTTGTCAGCGCTGTCCATGGTCCTTTTCGGACCTCCGAGCTCATACTCTGCGGATGGCTGTTGGAAGTGTTGAAAAGCGGGTTCTCTAAAACCGCGAAAGCCCTGGAATCCTGGGAATCCCTGGTGCATCCGTCCTCGTCCGAAGTGATCGAAGCGTTCGGGTTCGCCGCGCCAATTTTCGTGGGGGAATGGGCCCTGATTGGGATGGTACTGCGGACGCTCCATGAAATGGGGTTCTGACCTCATAAATTGCGGTCCGGGACCGTAAAAACGTTCCTCATTTGGGTATACAGAAAGTATTTCATCTCCATGGTAACGTGGGTATTCACCGAACTCCTGCGGTTTCTGGAAATAGAAACCCGGGTGGTCCTGTTCTCTCATCCAATGCCCATCTCTCTGTGGGTAGCCGGCGGCCAAGGCAATGCAAAAAACTGCAACGCAAAGTATCTGTGCAAACAGCATGGCGGTTAAGCGTCTCACTAAACTTGTCCCTCCAACGCTTATAACCAGTTAAGCTCGAACATGTCGTGATTCTATTGGTTATTTGAGCAGATGCAAAAATCGATCCAATCAGATGTTTAATCGATGACCTCTGACATGTGCCAACTCTGGGTCCTATAAACACGCTTTTGCTTACTGATAAAGAATTCCATGGATTTTCCGCTGCCTGGAAGACTAAGGAAAAAATTTGAAGGCTACGAAAATGACGACAACTTTGTATCCTAAATTAATTGTTGGCTTCTAAAAGGGGCACGCTACCACTTGGCAATATTTGAGATAGATCTGAATAGCAGGTGTACGTACAACATTTTCTTGGGCACTAAGATGACCTTGTTACCGCAGTTCGGCATTTCTAAATGTTGTCAGCGAACTTAAAATTTCCTCGTTTCGATGGAGAAAGGGAGATGTTAAAATGAGAACCGATATAAAAACTGCACTCATGATCGTACTCAAGGTGTACATTTACTTTACGAAGGCTATCCTTCGGATGTAAAACGCGAGCATGCTAGTTAGTAGTAAAACCTGACGATACTTTGAATCTGTTGATAAAGCTGCTCCCGAACAATAGTTAGCCCGATTTTCTTTTGAAAGTCAGCCTCCTTGTGTGTGGGGGGGGGACGTTCATAGTTTCATAGAAGGGACCGTTCTCATAGTGATTATATTTAGTTCAATTGAACCAAATAATATAATTACTACTTTTCTATACTTTCTAGTAAAACCATTTAGTTTAAACCCTCTGAACTCCATGAGACAGGACGACACTAAGGAAACGGTGGGAAGGAAGAAGTGGGAGGAGGGAACGGTGGAATAAATGATAA